ATTTTTTGGTTAAATAACTCCAGGTTTTGATGCATTGTAGTAGAACTCTTCTAGTTACATATGCAAATGACAAATTTTAGGAAAGTGTCATAGTTTGCAAATGGGGGGCGCCGCCCCCAAATGGGGTAACTTAGACCACCTAATGGCAGCCCTGATGGGGTAACATAGACCGGCTTGGAAGTTAATATAAAATTACCATATATAAAATATTTTATGTTTGACAGCCTATTCATGTTTTTTCTTTATGTTTCAGACTCTACAGAGTCTTTTATATGATAATTTTAACTTAATTTCCAAGCCAGTCAATATTACCCCATCAGGGCTGCCATTAGGTAGTCACATTTTCCTCATTATTGGGCGGCGCCCCCCACTTGCAAACTATGACACTTTCCTCAAGTTTGTCATTTGCATATGTAACTAGAAGAGTTCTACTACAATGCACCAAAACCTGGAGTTATTTGGAGTTATTTTACCAAAAAATATAATTGATTTTACCACCCGGTCTAAGTTACCCCAAGAGCTGGGGTAACAAAGAGGACAACTTTTTTTGAAATTACATAAAGACTACAAGAGGCAGGAGCCAGCAATTTATGGTGAGTGAAGCTAGAGCATAGACCTGTATTTTGCATGTTTCAATTCAAGTTTAATTTAGCTGGTAAAAAAATAGCATCATTTATAAAAAAAGTGTTCTAAGTTACCCCATTTTACGGTAGTTCCTATCTAATTACTTGAAGAACTCCCCCACCCGCTCCCCTTTCATGAAATGTTGTGAAATCATAAATAAACATAGAGAGATGGCAGTGGTACTGTTGGATAGGGCAGAATGTCAGCTTTAAAATGAGTATAAAACCAAAAAAGTGAAAATTTTCAATTTTAGGCAAGATGCTCCCCTTAAATTGCTTTAGAGTCCAATAGATCGCGTTAGAACGCTATAGATCGCGTTATAATGCTATAGATTGCGTTAGAACGCAATAGATTGCATTAGAATGCAATAGAACATGTTAGAACGCTATAGATTGTGTTAAAATGCAATAGATCGCGTTAGAATGCAATAAATCGCGTTAGAACTCAATAGACCACGATGGAACGCAATAGATTGCGTTTAAATGCAATAGATTGCATTTAAATGCAATAGATTGCATTTAAATGCAATAAATCGCACTAAAATGCAATAGATATTGTTAGAATGTAATAGATCACGTTAAAATGCAATAGATAAAGTAAGAACGCAATATATATTGCGTTAGAACGCAATATATATTGCGTTAGAACGCAATATATATTGCGTTAGAATGCAATATATCACGTTAGAACGCAATAGATCTCGTTAGAAAGCAATAGATCACATTCAAATACAATAGAACACGTTAGAACACAATACATTGCGTTAGAACACAATAGATTGCGTTAGAACACAATAGATTGCAATCGCGTTAGAACACAATAGATCGCGTTAGAACGCTATAGATCGCGGTAGAACGCAATAGATCACGTTAGAACACAATAGATCATGTTAGAACACAATAGATCACGTTAGAACACAATAGATCACATTAGAACACAATAGATCACGTTAGAACACAATAGATCACGTTAGAACACAATAGATCATGTTAGAACACAATAGATCGCATTAGAACACAATAGATCACGTTAGAACACAATAGATCACGTTTGAACACAATAGATCATGTTAGAACACAATAGATCGCGTTAGAACACAATAGATTAACAAGTTTTTCAGCAGTAGCATTGGGCTTGCCAGACGTTTGCACATTGTGATCGGGTGACAGATACAAGCAATCAAACAAGCTGAAGATGGTGTGGTGACAGCGGGGCTGATCGAGCAATCTATAGTTTATGATTGGTCATGGCTGCCTGAGCCATAGTTTCTGATCGGTCATGGCTGCCTGAGCCATAGTTTATGATCGGCCATGGACGCCGATTTAAGGTCAATGTGGCTGATGGAGAGCTTGAAAAGATGCCGATATCTCGAGCTGAAAGGCCCTACTCTACAGCCTGGTAATATATTAAGTTTTCAGCCTTTTTTGGCCTTCTTTGTTCTCGGATTTTGCCAATTTTAGGCAACCTGAATTATGCACCACTACGTCCTGGAGAAATACATTTTGTGGTACGCATATGTACCACTTTGGAGTCAACGTGTTAAAATCTTAATAGCTCGTAATTAAAAGCCTAATTAAAAAATGGAAATTTTTTAATCAAGCTTATTCTGAGCTGTATCGTATTCCAATACAGCTCACACAAGGTGTTGGAATTCCAACACAGGGCGCCGGAATTTCAAATAAATAGTTGTTTGAACTTGTGAAGCGCTGCTGGAATTAGTCTCGCAATATTCCAAATTTAGTCACACACAGCGTCAGAATTCAGGGATTTTGTAGGTTTGAATTCTAAAGGCTTTTAAATAAATATGGCAATAGTTTGTGATGTTTCATTGTTGCTGGCGTGTAGTGTGGTGTTTTGAGAGTGACGTAAAGCAATCAGAACTTTAGTTGCGCATACGGTGATATTTTTATAGCCATTCATTTCTTGCTACGTCCTTAATGTGTCGGAATATACCGCATTTACCCTATCAAGGTTCAAGCATCAAACTGTCGAGAGTCATGTCAAGAGTGTCAAAGTTTGTTTATGGTTAGGCTATCTGCTAACGTAATGTGGAAAATTGGGCTAAAGCAATTTGTGAATTATACACAAAAGCCCTTGAATACCTGTTTGCATATACTTTTCCAAATGTTTTCAGTAAAAAATAAGAAAAATGTCCTTTTTTCACCCATAATTTTTTAAAATTCCCATGATAGCTACAATAGTTTTTTCCTGCAATTTTTTTAAACTTCTACCTGATAATCCAAATTGACTGCTATGTTGCTAAATATAGGTTATAACCAGAGGTGGGCAGTAGCAGCTGTAGCGCGCTACATGTATCGGCCGCTGGTGCTACATTTTCAGTAGCGGTAGCGGTAGTGATTGTAGTGGTAGTGCCCGCTACATATTTAAGTAGTGATTCAAGGTTTTGCCGCTACAGCGCTACCATACCGCTACATTTATAGATAAAGTCTTTAGATTTTACTTAATAGTATTGAATATTATTTAAAAGCCAGCATGATACATACCTACATAACAAAAATTACAGAAAAAAAACAGGGTTGGTGATTTGTTTGATTTAAAAAAAAAATTAAAAATCAATAATTTTTTTATTTTTTCATGATTTTTTTATTTGATTTTTTTATTTTTTCAGCTTTTTATCTTTTTGAAAGGTTATTTTTTATGTTGCAATTAGCCTACTAACAATAACAGTATATGTATCATAATGGATGACTAAAAATTTCACTTACTGCCTTCAATAATGGCCAACAGGCCAAGGTGGTGTTTACCACTTAGACGGATTTTTGGGTAAACAATTATAGATGTCTATTCATTAGCTTTATAAAGTTTGTATGGAGCAAGGTAACAAGGTAAATATTGACCATTTAACTGGTTTCAATATACAAAAAAACTTCAGGAATGCAGATCTTCTAAACATTGAAGAGTCACACAACAGATAAATAGCTGATAGCACAGTGCACAACACTATCAATAGATCAACTAGTTTTATGTCCTATAAATCTACCAGACTCAACCCTCTATACACACCGACTAGTAGTGACTGAGTGACTGACTGCACTGTTCCCATTTAATTCAGACCAATAAACCAATACCAAACATAAACTGAACGATAACCAAATAAACCTCAAACAACTTGAAACGAGACTGAAGTTATGAGAAAAGTTAACACTGTTTGAAATAAACATGTGCACAATTCAATCATTTTATTTCCATTCACTGCATTTAATTATTTTATATGTAGTTTTATAATTGTAATTGCCTTGTTTCTAGTTTTAAATTCACATATTTAACGATTGAAATTAAATATTTTAATTAGAATACTCTTACTAGGGTGGAAAATCTTTCAAATTGCCTAAAAGGTAATACAATCTCAACCTCTCAATATACAGGGTGGGGCAGAAGCAATTGAGCAGTTTTGAGGTAAAATAAAAGAGAAATGGAGGTACATAAAGAAGAAAGTTTATCTTCCTAGAGGTTAGCATAATATTCCATTTAGAATACTTATGTTTTGAAAACAATATCTGGAAGATGGGAGCCGTTAGCTGCAACACACTGTTGGAGTTGTTCTCGGAGGAGGGAGTAACCGTGACAGTGATTTCCAATTGCTTTGCTGCAATGTTGCAAAATTTATTTCAGCCCAGGATGGAAAACATTGTTGAAAATGAAGCATTGGGAGACATGTGGTTCCTGATTTGCAAGGTCACCTGATTTGAGCATTTGCAATTTCTTTCTTTGGGGACATCTAATAGAAAGGGTGTTCAGAAGTGTCCCTCACACCCTACCACAGCTATGGGAATGGATTATTGTAGCAGAGGTTATAGCCATATGTGTGAACATGCTATAGGAAACTTGTGAGAATGACTCCAACAGTGTGATGCAGCTAACAAACACCATCTTCCTAAAATTGTTTTCAAAACATAACTATTTTATATGGTATGTTATGCTAATCTCAAGGAAAATAAACTTTCTTCTTTACGTACCCCCATTACTCTTTTATTTTGCCCCAAAACTGCTCAATCGGTTCTGCCCCACCCTGTATAAGCTAGCTAACACATTTAAATTGTATATTGTAATCAATATATAACAAATAGTTAAAGACTACTTATCGCCTCATAAGAATTGGCTAAGCTGCAAGCTATGTACAATGTATTGCAACACCTGATGCCTCTGTACCAAAAACATTCAATTTATTGGAACCTACACACTGAAGGCATCAAGTTTATATACCAATTTGTCATTAATAGTACATTAATACTAAACCATGAATAGCAAAACCTCAAAATAAATTGAAGACTGCCACTCAATATATTAAAACACATAAAAAAATGAAAAAAATATATAAAATTATGATTTTTTTTATAAAAAGTCAAATGATTTGATCACATGATTTAATCATATTGATTTAATCATTGCCAACCCTGAATAAAACTGTATGAAAGATTTTGGTGTAATGTTGTCAACCTCAGCCTGTAACTAGTATCAGCATGTTAGTTGTTACCAGAACCAGAGGTGGGCAGTAGCGCACTACATGTAGCGGCCGCTACATTTTCAGTAGCGGTAGCAGTAGTGGCGCTATGTTTTCAGTAGCGGTAGTGGCGCTACATTTAAGCAATTGTAGCGGCAGCGGTAGTGCCCGCTACATTTAGAGCATGTAGCGGTAGCAGTAGCGGCTGCTACATTTCAAAGAAACACTGCCCAGCTCTGGTTATAACTAGTGTCAAATCTTGAATTGTTCTGTAGGATCTATCCAACTTCAGATCAGTTTGCAATTCCAGAGCTCAAAACAAGCTAAACTAAAACTCTGTGAACTGACTTCTAAAATTCTCAAATAGTTGTCAAGGCTACAAAACTAATTTACACTAATTATTCCTCTTATTTCACTAAAATCTTTACGCTCCCATAATTTGACCATTGAATTGATTATTGTTGCTTTAAATGTTAAATTTTGCTATAGTGAAAATCTATTTCAATTTGAAAGAAGGGCTACTGGTGGTAAACTAGATGCAAAAATGTGGTAACTAGATGCAAAAAAACTGCCTAATTTAACCTGCAATTTTTGAAAACTTTCGCCCGAGATTCTAAATTGGTTGAAAATGTTGGATGAAAATGATCTATGCCAATATGAAGTATAAAAATTTAGGTTTTAAAATTCAAGATAACTTTTTACCTGACAATACAAACTTTTATTAATTTTCAGGTATGCTGGTTTTTTGATTTGCATAAATCATAGACGTGTCATCAATGAACACCACCCTTAATTTAAATTATTCAGTAGAGCTCAGCTCTTACCGAGATCAGCATTTCAAGGTATGAACCTGTTGGTTGTTTATTTCAATATGATATTCATGGAATAAAATTTAGATGATTTTTCAGACTTACTTACAGGTATAAGTTAATTGTGATTGAGCAATTTTATGTCATTTCAGTAATTCAGTTTGTCAAAAATTGTAAGAACCTTATTTTGTTGGTGTCTTTATCATGAATTTGTTAGTAATTTTGAATTTTTATTGATTTTTTCCTCTTATTTTCAGGGTTCACGTGTCGAACAGGAAAGATGCTTGCGATATACAAGCACATTGTACATTGGCAACTTGTCCTTCCATACCACAGAAGAACAGCTTTATGAGCTCTTTGGTAGAGCTGGTGCTATCAAAAGGATTATTATGGGTCTGGATAAATTCAAGAAAACTCCATGTGGATTTTGCTTTGTGGAATATTATACCAGGTAATTTTTAATAAATAAAGATGAATAAGGGGAAATTTCTGTTTTAATCTTGATTATTTTCAGTTATTTTATTATTTTTAATCAGTTATTTTCAGTTTTGGCTGCTTCTATTACAATAATTTTTGTTGAAAATAAAATGTTATCAGATATATATAATTATCCATGTTATTTTTTGACAGCATTTGCTAAGTTATTTCTAGTCATGATCACGTGATAGCATTATTTGTTGCCTGTTGTACAAGTCAATACTGAACTAATATGAAAAACAGAGAAGATGCTGAGATGTGCATGAGGTACATCAATGGCACCCGCCTCGATGATCGCATCATCCGCTCTGACTGGGACACTGGTTTCATTGAGGGCAGGCAGTATGGCCGCGGCAAGACTGGTGGCCAGGTCAGAAATAGTTTTTAAATTTGGTGTTGCTACCAGGCTCAATATTTATTATATTACATTTATGATTTATATATACAATATATAAACAATATACAATATTACAATATACAATATTCAATATATTCTTACAATATCCTGCTTTTCAACAGTTTCACAGTTGCAGCAAAATTCCATCAAACACTAAAATTCAAGAAGCCCACAAACACATATTTTCTTTGGCCAAAACTTCAGCATAAAGTTACCATATGTTTACTTGAAGCAAAATCAATACCGTCAGCTCATTTGGTTTTCCTGCAGAAGCCCTGGATATGGGTTTTATTTTTGCTGCCATACATTTTTTCTACAAATATTCTTAATAAAATTCCTCAGTTATTTGCGCACACAAAGAATTATGAAGCTGCAGGGCTTGATTGTGTAACTATATTGTATAGCTAAAGGAGGAAAGCTTTTGCATACAAACATGTTTGAGAAGAATAAAATCTCTCGAATAAAATCTTGGAAAGTACAAGCCTTTTTATTGACTGAAACTGTATTCAAAGCTGTTATCTAAGTTTCTAAGATGGTTTCAAATACTTAGAAATGAGTAACATATTGGTGTAATCTTTCATCTTCTTACGTTTTAGATATAGGTACTTGAAGATTTCAAGTGAGAATGGCATTGAAATTTATTTTAATGTATCATTATTGGCCTTCATAATATTTCTATGCCTTATTATTTCATATTCTTACTATACTCTTGTATGATTTCTTAGGTGCGAGATGAATATCGGACTGATTTTGACTCTGGGCGAGGAGGCTATGGCAAGATAGTCCAGCAGAAATTGGTCCACGCTCCCACCAATTGAAGCTTGACTTCTTTTATTTAATGATCTTCATCATCCTATTGTTAAGGCTCACTAGTCGTAGCTCTCCTTCTCATCTTGTATGAAAATACTTCATAATGAATGTACGGTACTGGTTCAATTCCATTTTATGTGCTTCTTGTTCACAAATTCACAAAGATTGTTTTTGAATAACTCCTGATAGAGACAGTGAATATTAAATTATTCAATGTTCATTTGAATAAGTAATATATAGATTTGAAGCATGTTTTTGTTATGAAATTCTTCAATTTTGTTGCTGAAACTCCATTTACTACTCAAAACTTCATTTTCTTGCTAGTTGATGTGTTTATTCAAAGTAACTTCCTCTGTTGGCTCGTACTATATTTAAGTGTGTTATTTTACACATACATGAACAATGTACTTCAGCTCACATTCTGAGTTTTATTATTAAGAAGAAATTATTATTATTATGAAGCTTTTGATTTACCTATCTTAATTCCTAAATGTAATCGTGTGTTGATAGGAATTGCAGTCTGCGCACAGGGAAACTATGGAAACCAGTGTAAATAACCATACAAACTATCAAATCTTAGAGGTAATTGCTAATTTTTTCAAAATCTAATTTTTCCATCAAGACCCTACAGACTTTTAAATAATTGTATGTAATTTCAAGAACACTAACAATTTTCAAACTGGTTTAATTTTTTTGATAATATAATAGCGGTTTCAGCGTTATTAGGCCGTATGCCTGTCTCCATTATTAACATCGCAGAACATTCACAGCTTATTGAGGTTTCAAACTCGCAACTCATTGCTCCAATTTTGCTTTGCTCAACCGCCCGGCCTCCTTGCCGATTCTGACCAGAAACTGGCGCACAGAGCTGGGATCAGACCGGCGCCAATCTTGGTACTCAGGTACCACCAGGCCACCCTTCTTACCCATGCCGACTTCGACCAGATTATTTGAAACCAGTTGAGGTTTCGAACCATTTAACTCACTGTTCCAATCTAGATGACCTTAGATAAACGACCACCCAGATGGATAAAAAGGTTGAATTACATGGATCTCAATGTTGTTAAAATTAAAGGAGTCATGCTTGCGTTGGTTGCTGCCCCTCTTATGCTTTTTTTATTCATAATAACGGGATAATCCTGATCACGCTCACTCCACTGTAACTTTCCTGTGATTTTTGTGCGTTATTGTCATTGCAAGGGAAGCTCGTAGCGCTGTTAGATCAGTGATATACGTATAGCGGTATAGATCGATAATAAAGGCATAGATAGATCGATGGCACCTGGCAGATAGATCAGAAGTGTTGTTAAAGGTAGATCAAAGGTAGCGGTTTAGTATCGGTAAAATTCGGATAGTTAATAAAGGGTTTACGAGAGTTGAATATTAAAATTTATCTCCATCTGTAAGTCACATGAAAAATTTAAAGTCCCAGCATCTAAATTTTCTTAACTGTAGCTCGTCGGTTACGTATGCGACTTATGAGAGAAGCCAAGAATGCTGGACAGGTAAATTTGGCTGCTATTCCCAACCGACATTTTTCTTTCCCGCATCTACAATGATAGAAGTGTCGGCGCTGAAGAAATAGGCCCATGGCCTGTTGCCGATTCTTGAACTTTTCGTGACTTGATTCACAAGGGATCCGGCCTTTGGAACCCGATCTTTCCATAGCTGACGATTGATTGAGATAGCTGCTGGACTTATTGCCTGGTCCGTAATTTGCTAGGCATTTTAAGACTGAACATATGC